CCTCCTCCATGCTAATGTAATCTCTAACCAGATCTGCCCAGCCGCAGCTCAAATTGCTTTTTAGATTAACATTTAATTATTAACAGGGTCCCCTGGAAGGCCTCCGGGCTCTGAACAGGGAGGAATGGGATTGGGGGAAGGGAGCGGCAGAGGCGGGGAGGTGGGGGTGGGCTCTGCTCTGGCTGAGCCGAGCTGAGTTGGGGGAGGCAGGCAAGGAGGGAGGAAGGAGCAGGGGAGAGGGGTCGGGAAAGGCGAGAGAAGGAGAGATAGCAACAGAGGAGGAGATGGGAGATAGGAGACAGGAAGAGAGGGACAGCAGCCCCCCCTGTGGGGAGCCCCCAGATTTCCTGTGACACTCCTTGCTGTGTGACAGTGAACTGGGGTCAGGTCCCCGGCTCTGATGACAAGATGGCCTGGAGAAGTGGCCATAGCCATGGTCTGACCCCAGCATCCTCATTCCAGGGCTCCTTGTCCCCCATGCCCCTGCCCTGGGTAGCTGTTCCCCCGCTCCACACCACCCCTATGCTCCTGGGCTCTTCCCCTCATTCAGCTGTGGTCCCTGAAGTTGGGCTGCACAGGAGCTGCTCTGTGTGAGGTGGCAAACTGTGGGGCTGGATCCTGGAGCTTGCACACAAGAGGCCCTGGGACAGAGCCTCCCCTTCCCACCCCCAAGTCCTTGGGACATGGGCTGGCTGCCACCCCATCAAGGCTTAGTTAGGGAAACAGGGGCTGCAGGGACTTCCTCAAGGCCACCTGGCCAACCAGGACCCCTGGGATCCCAGCTAGCTGGCCAGTACCACAGTCAGCTCTCCTGTCTGAACTTGTAGTTAGTAAGGCTGAGAAGGGCCTGCCGTGACCTGCCCCTCTGGGCTGGAGCCAGTCTTTGACCTTGAGTAGAGCCCCGGAAGCCTGTGTAGGCAATTCCAGGCACAAGGCGGTAGGGGGTGGGGAGGACTGGAAGTAGCACCGCCCATGGCCTTCACAGAGTCACGGCCTGGCCCTGCTGTGCAGTTCCGCTGACCAGCCTGTGTACACGGGGAATGCTGGGAGCAGAAGGGTGAGACCAGAAGTTTCTACCTCCGCTGTGGGCTGGCCTGGGAGTGGGAGGTCAAGGTAAGTTGGCTGTTGGTAGGACTTTCATTTTCTTGATAGCTTTTCTCAAGACTTATGTAATTTGAAAGGCAGAGGGACATGGAAAGAGGAGATGCATTTTCTGGTTCACGCCCTAAATGCCCACAACAACTAGGCTGGAGCCGGAAGCTGGGAGCTCCTCCATCCAGGTCTCCCATGTGGGTGTGGCGGGGGCCCCAGCGCTTGGTCAGTCAACGCTGCCTCCCATAGCTCCCATGGAAGCTAGAGTTGGGAGCTTGAGCTGGGACTTGAACCCTGGGAGCTCTGATACGGGACATGGGCAACATAATCCGTGTCTTCTCTGGATTCATCATCCCAGGAAATGACACGGGGTGGTGCCTAGGAACGGGTTACCCCCTGAGTATACGAGTGAATAAATGCCTGCCTTGGGGCCAAGGCTTTGCTCCCGTGCATGCTGTTCCATCAGTGGCCTCCTGCACCGCCTACCATCTTCTCCCCCTCCCTCTATGATCCCGGCTCTGGCCCTTCCTGTTCAGCTGTCTGGGTGCCTGTGGCTGTTGGTTCAGAGTCGACCCAGTGGCGGATTTGGGGGGATGTTTAGGGCCTCTGCTGCCTCACAGCAGTGTGACCCCATGTGTGCATGTGTGCGTACAGATGGCTTCCCCTCCTGGGCCACTTCCTAACCTGTGAAAATGGGCGAAGACCAGAACTGGCCACAGAGACCACTGGGGGAGGAGGGGACTGTGGCTGAGGTATGAAGGACATGGGCAAGACAGTAGTGGTCAGCACTGACGGGGGGGGGGGGTGGTTCCACACCACCTGCAGCCAAACATGACACTAGGCAAGCCCGGCGAGGCCCCTACCCCCCAGTACAAATCAAGACAACCGCTAGCCATCCCACCCGTTGTTCGCCAGGCGAATCTGTCCTCAGACCTGGACTGCGCCTTCCACTCTTTCCCTCCCCTGCCACATTTCTTTTATCTAAATCCCCTGCTTTGAAAGGGCATAACGACAGCTGGGGGGTGTTATCTGGCGGAGGGGACCTTTGCATGGGTGTCTCTGAGATAAAGGCATCTTATCAGCCCCCCATGTCAGGGCCCCCACCCCACCTAATCCTGGAGCCTGGCTGTGCTGCCCTTGCAAGTCCCTCCTCGGGTGGTATTATGAAAGTAACAAAAGACCTTGAGCTTATAAACAGTCTGATTTGCAGATAGGGATTCAAAAGGAGCAGGGCTCCCCAGACCAGGACGACCTGATGGCGCCTGCCCCTTTGCCGTGTGACCTCGTGTGGAAGCTTGTTTTCTGTAGCCCTCGGCCACTCTGACGACAGCCGATCGGTTCCGCCTGGCCAACACCTGTTTGTTATGAAATGATTCCTTTGCGCCAGGCACTGCAGGGAGAGAAACAAACAAGACACCCTCCCTCCCCAGGGGAGAGAGGCAACTATGAGAACTGGATGCCATGAGAGCTGGAATGGGGGTGCCCTGTGTGTGGAAGGACTGGCCTGAGTTCCTGTGCAGCCAGGTGGTGGCGCTGTAGGAAAGAGGGACTAGCAGGTGCGAAGGCGAGTTGGCCGCCTGGCCCAAGGGAGGAGAGGGTCACAGGTGTCTTTGAAGGCTAAGCAGAGAGGGTGGGACTCTGCTGTGAGGCTGCCTGGATTTATAGGTAAGAGGATGACATGGGTACTGGAGGTGGTGGTCATCACCCTTAGTCTAGACTTTGGACCCTGCCCCGCACATGCTTGTCCTCAGCAGCAGGATACTTAAAGGGTAAGGGATTGGGGGTGCACAGAGGGACAACCTTACTATTCCAGGGGGACCTGTTTTGGGCTGCTGATCCTTCGGAGATTTGAAACGCTCTGGAATGATCCAGGTAGCTGACCTGGAAAAGCTATGCCGAGGCCTCACATCATCTTCTGGCTGGAATGGCTTTCCGCCCCAGACCCCTTGAGCTCAGTCGGAGGCCTCTCTTAGGTCCCTGAACTGCTAGGACCTGCACAGCCTCAACCGTGGGAGGCCCAGCGCAGGCAGGTAGCCCCTCGCCTCAGCTTTCTCCCACAACAAGGCATGCTGGGATGTATGATCTGTGGGGAAGGATAGGGGAGGCCCCTAGAGAGGGTGCTGAGTTTCTGGGTCCTGATGAGGAGCTGTAGTGGGGCTGAGGGTGGGCGTGGCCAGGAGCCTTGGAGGGAGGGCCTGTAGGGATCTTGGTGCTCTTATGACAGGCCAGAGAGGGGCTGTGGGCCACCTGAGGTCACGCAGCAAGTGCCACTGGGCTCCCTGTCCAGGTTTCCATGGCAAGCCGTGTCCCCGACCTCCTGGGGTCTGTGGGGAGGGGCAGGCTACTCCCAGGCCCACTGCCTGTTGGGAGGGCGTTCTGGGCTGGCCATCACCTCCCTCTGGGTGGCTTTCCCATTTGTGCAGGGACTGGCTGCAGACCAGTTGGTTCTCCTCGGCTCCGTCTATTGCCCACAGTTTCCCAGCAAGGAGAGACAAGTGCCATCCTGGGACAGGAGTCGGGGGCAAAGAGGTTGTGCCAGGTGCACGCACGCAACCGTGTATCCCTGGGCTCTGGCTGCACGTGCATGTACGTGTGTGCCAATGTGTGCCCTGCAAGAGGGCATGCATTGTGGGCCCATGAGGCCTGTGTCCAAGGAGGAAGTGGTTGTGGCCCGAGCCAGGCTGGCTCCTGCCACCTGCTCCCATTGTGAGTCCTTGAGGAAGAGCAGCAACGTGACGTTCCCTCAGCCAGGGACCCCCCACCCCCGGCCCCCATGGGCTGCCTGAGCCGTGTGCTTTCTGTCTGATCTTGATGGCGTAGGTTCAGAGCCTCAGATCCAGAGGCAGGAGAGGATACCACAGCTTGTGTCCCAAGGCTGCTTTACCTCTGGCAACTGCTGGGGAGGGGGGCGGGACATGCGGGAATCACTGCCCTCCCCCCTCATCCATCCCTCACTCTCCCTCTCTCTCTCTTTTTTTCTGAGACAGTAATAGGAGAAAATTGGTTTTGAAACTGAATAAAAGTCCCTTTCAGAGGAAATCATTTCTTTCAGGGCACCTTTGCTGAAAGTAAAATAGAGCGTAATGAAAGGTGCCTGCGTGATTGTCTTTCATTTGCCGGAGTCCAGGACAGACGGAGGCCGCCACCGTCTCAGGAAACACAAGATTGGAATAATTGCGCTGTAACAAGGAGCTTGTTGTGAAATTAGTATCTTAAGAAAGTAGTGAAAAAAGGCTTTTCCTCATGAATACTTCATTATTGGGAGAAAGCGGCAGAATTTAGGGCTCCAGACACCTGTTTAGTATTAAATAACTTCCCTTTCTTCCCCTTCAACACACACCTCCCTCCCCCCACCATTCCTCCTCCTCCTTCATTTTGCAAACGCACATGAGGATGGAGGTGGCCCCGGGTGGCTGCTCGGGAGCTGGGGGGTGGTCCCGGAGGAGGTAGGGCTGGGGTGCAGCGGTGGGGGCACACATGGGGTGTCCAAAGTCTGCATTGATGTGAGGACAAGCCTGTCCCTTAATGGGGTGGGGAGGGGCCTGGCAGGAAAGACCCCGCCCTGTCACGGTGGCCTCTCTCCAGCAGGGACTCCTGCAGTGGTCTTGGCAGGAGAGTGACAATGGCTATGAGTTGGCTTGTGGACACCTGGGTGCTGACCCCCTTGTTTAGGTCGTGGTGGGGCTCCTAGGTGGTCCTACTTTCCCGCTTGGTCAGCAAGGACACATGCTGGGCCGGGTTTGCCAGAGTGCAGAGAGCACCCCCATAGGTGCTGGCTACTTTGGGGCCCGGGGCTCCGTATCTGACAGATACAAGAGGTTGGGAGGGGAGGTGTCTGTCTGCTCCTGTGACGCGGTAGAAACCCAGAAGAGCGTCTATTGACCACCACCTTGTCTCCTCCTTCCCAGGGACCCTGCTGCCACGCGTGCCCTGCTGTGGGCCCCCAGCTCCGCCATGCTTGCCTGCCTGCAGAGGACACAGAACCCGCCGGGCCAGCACCTGGCCTGCCCAAGCAAGAGCCTGGAGCTGCGCAAGTGTGAGTGGCCTCGCCCCCGCCCCTTCGGGTCTCCTTCGGGTGCCTGGACCCGCCGCGGGCCTTAAGGGTCGGGGCAGAGGACCCCGCCCAGAGTGCTGGTTTGAGCTGGTTTTTGTTTTTTTTTTTCCTTTGAATGATCTCCATGGCCCCTTGTGTTTGATTCAGTGGTTGTCTTGGTTTTTCTTGGCGGGTACAAGCTGTTTGTATGTATCAGACCTCGGACCTCGGGGTGTTTCCCTGCTGGGTCATTTGTTCCACTCTGCCCTGAAGGAATTCTCTTGGAGAAGTGACATTTGTGTTTCTTTTTATGGCTTCTGGATTTTATGCCTTTGCTAGGAATGTCCTCACTCAGGAGACTTTTTTAAGAGAGGGCCCTCAAGATTCCTTACAGTTTTGAGATTTAAAAAAAAAAAAATCAGCATGATCTTTGATCCTGACAGCTAGTGCAAGCGAGTGGGAGGTGTGGACTCAGGCACGAGGCTGCTGCAGTGTTCTGGGGTCTCAGGGCACTGCCTGGCAGGGGAAGGCATGCTGCAGTATTATAATCACTTGCAGTGTTTAGAATGCACCGAAAACGCTGGCCGCTTCCCTGAGAGAATTCACGTGTCATTTGTCACTGGAAGTGTAAAATTCAGTTGGTGTTGGCATGTGGACAGTGGGCCTGACCCTCCTACTCCCCCATACACACACCTGCTCCTTCCTCCTCTCCACAATCCCCAGTCTGACCTTGGCTAACGATGGATGCCTGTGCACGTGGTGTTCTGGTCCGCCCAGGTGGCAGCAGGTGGATGGCACACTGCGGTGTTTCTGGGGCTCATTGTCCTGGGGGACCCCCCTCCTGCCACCCTGAATGTCCAGGGCTGTTTCGTAGGCTTTCCTGTGTGAACAAGAGAGTCTCCACAGGAAAAACAAAAAATCCGATTTGTTTTTTTTTTTTTTTTTTTTTACTGGCATTGCATTCATAGATGACTTCAGATCTGACATGTTTATGACACACTCCTTCCTCCAAGAACATAATGTGCCTTTTTATTTGTTTTTCTCTATTTATTTACTTTTATTTGAAAGGCAGCGTTAATAGGGGGAGAGACAAATTTCTGTCTGCTGGTTCATGTCCCAAATAGGCAGACCTGGGCCAGTCCAATGGCAGGAGCCAGAAGCTTCTTCCTGGTCCCCTACATGGGTATAGGGGCCCAAAGACCTGGACCATCTTCCTTTGCCTTCCCAGGCACATCAGCGGGGAGCTGCCTGGGGAGTGCAGCAGGCACATGGGATGCCAGTGTCACAGGTGGAAGTTTAGTGTGCTATGCCATGGCACCAGCCTTGATGCTCCTTTTTAAGAAAAAAAATATATATATACATACATATGTATATATGTATCATATATATGATTGATATATAAGCAGAGACAAAGAGCACTTCCACATGCTGATTCATCCCCACATGGTTGTGAGGGCCAAGGCTGGGCCGGGCTGGGCTGAGGCTGGGATCCAGGTCTGCCCTGTCCTGGAAGTGGATGGCCTACACGCCTGGGTCCCTGCCACCTTCCCTGGCACATTAGCAAGGAGCTGGATCAGAACTGGTGGAGCAGCCAGGACTGGCAGCAGCACTCACATGGGATGTTGGCATCGCAGGCAGCCACTCAACCCACTGTGCCAGGATGCCAGCTCCCTTGGGAGCCTTTCTCTGCCCTTTGTCGTGTGTCCCTCAGGCTGTTTCCACAGTGGCTTCACTTACCTCGTGCATGTGGCGGGAGCCTTACGTCTGGAATAGTGAAGTCTTTGCTTCCACAGATGGAGGTTGTCAATATGAAGGCCGTCACCTTCTGCCACCTTCCTGAAGTCTTTTACTGCTATTTTTAAATATTTATTGTGAAGTCAGATATACAGAGAGAAGAGACAGAGAGGAAGATCTTCTGTCTGATGATTCACTCCCCAAGTGACCTCAACAGCCAGTATTGCGCCGATCCAAAGCCAGGAGCTAGGAGCTTCATCTGGGTCTCCATGTGGGTGCAGGTCTTAAGGCTTTGGGCCACCCTCGACTGCCTTCCCAGGCCGCAAGCAGGGAACTGGATGGGAAGTGGGGCCACTGGGATTAGAATCTGCGCCCATATTAGATACCAGTGCTTGCAAGGCGAAGACTTTAGCCAGTAGGCTATCATTCTGGGCCCTATTTCTATTTTTTCTAAAGCTTTATTTATTTATTTATTTTATTGGAAAGGCAGATAGATATACAGAGAGAAGGAGAGACAGAAAGATCTTCCATCCACTTGGTTCGCTTCCCAAGTGGCCACGACCTGAGCTGAGTCAATCCGAAGCCAGGAGTGTCTTCTGGGTCTCCCACGTACGTACAGGGTCCCAAAGCTTTGGGCTACCCTCTACTGCTTTTCTCAGGCCACAAGCAGAGAGCTGGAAGAAAAGTGGAACAACCGGGATTAGAACCAGCGCCCATATTGGATCTCAGTGCATGCAAGGTGAGGACTTCAGCCACTAGGCTACTGCACCAGGCCCTCCAGAAGTCTTTTACTGAGTCTAATGCTTTTACAATTTCACCTCTTGGGCTTTGCAGTAATATACCATTACACTGTTTGCAAATGGTAATTTTTACCTTCTGTTTTATCTTATACCTTAATTTCTTTGTTTTATATAATAGAGTTGGCTCTTATCCCTGAAACAGTGCAAAAACACACAGTGGCAGACATTCTTTGCAGCATCGAGACTTCCCCATTAAGGAAGCGCTGGCTGGAGGGCAGGTGTTTTAGTGGGTTCAGTCTTCGCCCATTCCTGTTTTATGTTAAGGATTTTACAAATCCAGAATGAAAATTCAGCCTTGCCAAGTGACTTCTCCTTGTTTACGTGATGATCATGATTTTTCCCTTTAATAGATACGAGTTGATGATACTAATGGATTTCTCAACGTTAAACCATCCTGGGCTCCTTGTTGAGCCCCACTAGGTCACGCTGCGTGTTCCTCTATAACACGCTGCTGTGCGGGATCTCATACTGCCTTTGGATTCTTAGTGTGGTTGCATCGTGAGATACTTCCATTTTTTAAATTTTTTTTATTCGAAAGGCCGATTTACAGAGAGAAGGAGACACACAGAGAATTTTCCTGCTGGTTCACTTCCCCAAGTAGCCACAGTGGCCGGAGCTAAGCCCATCTGAAATCAGGAGCCAGGAGCTTCTTCTGGGTCTTTCACTCAGGTGCGGGGTCCCATGTCCCGCAGCTTTGGCTGCTTTCCCAGACCGTCAGCAGGGAGCTGGATGGGAAGTGGAGCAGCTTGGACTCGAATCTGCACCCAGGTAGAATGCTAGTGCTTCAGGCACAGGATTAGCCTGTTGAATCACCATGCCAGTCCCAAGAGTCTTTAGCTTTCTATTTTTGGAAAGATCTTCATCTTGGAGTTTGTTTTGTTGTTACACTTGCCTCTTTAAAAAAGGGAGGCTTGCAGCGGATGCTGTGGCGTAGCGGGTAAGTTGGTGCCTGTGAGGCTGGTGACCCCTACGGACACCAGCTCATGGCCTGGCTGCTCCACCCAGATGCAGCCCCTGGCTTTGCTCTGGCCTGGCTCCGGCCATTGCAGCAGTTCGGAGAGAGAACTAGCACACAGAAGACCTTGCTCTCCTCTCTCTCTCTCTTTCTCGCTCTCTCGCTCGCTAAAACTCTGCTGTTCAAAAGAAAGAAATCTTTAAAACTAGACAGTGAGGTTTTCCTTTTTCTCTATACCCAAGTGTCCTTAGAAACTCTGTGATCTGGGTCAGGTGCAGTAGCTAAGCTGACTAATCCTTGCTGTGATCCCATATGGGCACTGGCTCCTGTACTGGCTGCTCCACTTCCCATCCAGCTCCTTGCTTATAGCCTGGGAAAGTGGTAGAGGATAGCTCAAAGCCTGGGGACCCTGTACCCACATGGGAGACCCCGAGAAGGCTCCTAGCTCCTGGCTCCCAAGTTTCAGATCAGTTCAGCTCCAGCTGTTGTGGCCACTTGGGGAATGAACCAGTGGATGGAAGATCTTTCTGTCTCTCCTTCTTTCTGTATATCTGCCTTTCCAGTGAAAAAATAAATCTTTAAAAGAGAGGGAGGGAGGGAAAGAGATCTTCCATCTGCTGGTTCATTCCCCCAGTGTCAAGGCCTGGGACAGGCTGACAGCCCTGTCTGGGTCTCCCATTTGGGTGGAGTCCAAACACTTGGACCATCTTCTGGTGCTTTCCCAGGCACATTAGTGGGGCAGCTGGATTGAAAGTGGAACAGTGAGGACTAGAACTGACGTTCATATAGGGTGCTAGTGTCACGGCAAGTGGCTTAATCTGTTGCACACAACACTGGCCCCGTGTTGTCTTTTTACACTATGGCCAGGGAATGATATCTATTACTCGCATTTCTTTGGAGCTTAGGCTTTTCCGTGATACAGTCTGTGGTGTTTGTGTGTGGAAAAGGTTTGGCTCTGTGTACGTCGTTTAGAAGGGCCAGCTCATGAGGGCCCAGTGGGGTTGACACATGTCTTTACTTCCGGGTCGGGTATGGAAACAGGAGTTAGACACCCAGTGCTAATGGGGTGCAATCTGTTTCTTCATAGAACCCTATAACTTCGGCCTTGGGAATGGTGACACAATTTTATGTAATGCAGAGATTAGCACCTCAATACTTTTTGGCCAGGGTTCAGTTTCATCTGTTACAATGGTAACTTTTGCTTTTTGTAATTCACATTGTTCTTGAAACCTTTTATCAGTTCTTATACTTCAGTTTTTGGGTTACTTTTAAGTACATATAGCTCATGTCCTGCACAGTTGGTTTAGGCTTTGTAAGCCAATCAGAACATCTTTTTAAAATTTCTTTGAACAGGAGAGTTTAGCCTGTTGACATTTATTGACACAACACATGTCTAGTTTTCATTCAGTCGTTTTGTTTTTGTCGGGATGGCTCTTCAAGTCTTCTTCTGTGTGTCTGGAATCCCTGTTCTGATTAACCACAAGCAGTGGGAGTGGTTCTTGTTCCAGTGGTTT